TGTATATGTACATGTGGGTATATGTATATCTATGTGTATATATGTGTGTGTATGTATATATGTATGTGTATATATGTGTATGGATAAATGTGTATTATATTAATGTACGTATGTGAATTATGTATATATCAAGGTATGTATGTGTAAGTGTTATGCATTTGATTAGCAATAGGGGGTAGGCCCAGATAAGCTGTTTCAGCTTCTGCCAACTCCCTTTTGGGCTATTTTTATTTATTTTTTTCTTCTTCACATTATTATTCTTTTGTCTTCTAAATGCCCAAATAAAAAAAAAAAAAAAAAAAAAAAAAAAATATATAAGGTACATTATGGATACAATATATTGCTTTCTATGAAAGCAAGCAAATAAGATATGGTGTTTGAATAGCATCCGTATAGTGTTTTTATTGTTCTCATGACACATATAGGCTGTAGAACATTATCATTTCTATAATTTATATATAATCAACATGAATAGACCCTCTGTTCAGTTACACAGTAACATTACTCATTCATTCAGTTAGGTAAGAATGCACATTTATAAAGGGGACACCCTGGAAGCAAGAGTTTCGGTGAGGGTTAGGGTGACTGTGTGTGTGTGTGTGTGTGTGTTGGTGTGTGTTTGTTGGGCTATGCTTGCTCTGTACACAGTGGTCGTATGTGCACAGTCTTCTGTTTAGATTGCTCGCTGTGCCCTTGTTGCCTCTCTCTCTGTCTCTGTGAGGTTTGCCAATTGTGCACGAGGAGGCCGTGTCTGCCTACGTGCACGCCCAGAGAGTGCATGAGGAGGCTGTGTCTGCCTACGTGCACACGCAGCTTCAGCACACTAGAATTAGTTCTGTGTGCTGCTGCTTGTCTGTCCTCTCTCTCTTTTTGCCTCTCTCCTCTCTCCTCTTTCCTTCCCGAATAGTGTGGCCATCAATCAGGAGGAAAGGGGGATAGAGGAAAGGAAGGAGCAGGGGGTTGCAGTTGGCTCAGAGCCAGGGAAAAGGAGCTGGCTTGCTGCCCAGAGGAGAAGGGAGGACAGGGAGAAGAAGTAGAGGGAGGAAAGAAAAGTGTGGCCAGGCCATTCTCGGAGAGGGAAGAGCAAAAGAGTAAGGGAGAGTGCACTAGTGGAAGAATATAACAGACAGTGTGGAACAAGAGCAGAGCAGCAGGCTGATTGTGTTCAAAATGTTGCAGACAGATTTTAAAAAGAGGAGGCAAAGCAGGTGATCAGTGTGGTGGCGGATGCAATGCAAATATTCAAAAAGTCTTTAATGGATAAAAACCACAGAAGAAGACAGACAAAACAGAGTCACTTTTTAAGTTCAGCTTCAATAGTTCCAGACTCAGATTTAATCATCATTGTAGTCATGAAACCTTTTCCCCATGAGAAGAATAAAAAGCGCACTCTTGGTAAATTATATGTTTTTGTACCAGCAACAAATGCATTGTGTTTTAAGCGAATCCGCAATTTGCATAACGTAGTAACACTGGGATTGTTATTAACTTCATATATCACATTGTTGCTGTGGCACAGGGTTTTGTCTCTCTGAGGGTCGAGTGGTCTGCTGCGGTTTGCAAACTTGAGATTCCAGTTGGGCCTTTCAATGGAATCAGCAGCTATTGTGTTACAATTGATTTGTTCTGGAGGTTCTGGTTAAAGAGTGTAGATTAAATCAGTGTTTGAACTGGAATTTGTTTGTGAAAGATGAAAGCGTCCTTATAGCTGCACTGTCCTGGCACAGACCTCACTGGGCATGGCCTCCATGCACCTGTGCCAATCTCTCCCGCATGGATCACATTCACATCACAAGCGCTTTATTGGAAACATGTCATGGTTAGGTTGGGAAAGAACACACAGTGCTGATCTGCCATAAGATTTATAATGCATTTTGAAAATAAGGGGTGGCTAAATTCTGTTTGTGTAAATACTGCTGTGAATTAGTTTTGCAGGGTACTATACTATATTATTGGTTAGCACTTGTGCTTCACAGCAAGAAGGTCCTTGATTCCACCTACAGACCTTTATGTGTGGAGTTTGCATCTTCTCCCTGTGTCTGCGGTGCTCCGGTTTCTCTACCACTAAAAAAGAGTACAATAGGTCTAGCATGCGCCTTCTGTACGTCGACCCCACTCCTATCTCTGTGTGGAGTGAGAAACAACGGCCCACAACAAATGTAAGGCAAGGCAAGGCAAGGGCAAGTTTATTTGTATAGCACAATTCATATACAAGGCAACTCAAAGTGCTGAACAAAACAAGAAAGCATTAAAATCATAAATAATCACAGAACATTAAAAAGGAAGATAAAAATATAAAATCCCTCAGTTGTATGCACAGCTAAACAGAACCGTTTTTAACCTGGTTTTATACATTGTCAGAGAGGAGGCCTGTCAAGCGCTTTGAGACTCTGCTCTTTGAAAGGCGTAATATAAAAAAAGACTACTCACTTACTTACTTATATTCTACTTCTAACTGATAGTACAAGCACTGTAATAATTGTACTGTTTCTCACTACTTTCTGACTACTTTTCAGTGTTTTGTAACATGTATCTCAGATCAACCTTGTACTGTTGCAATAAATATGCCATGATTTCAGATTTATTCAAAACACCCAATGTATTTTTGGACCAAATGCATGGCTTATTAAATGAATATAAAGGCTGAAATGGAAAAACAAATCCCCTCTCATCTCTGCTCTCCTGGCTCGCTCCATGTGCCTCTGTGCTGGTGCCACTTGGCTGCAGTCTTTAAACTCAGGTGTGCACTGACCCCCTCTCCCCTCTACCCTCTCCCCTCTCCCCTCTTCTTTCTCCTATTTCTCCTCTCTCCTATTTCCTCTGTTGCTTCTCCTCTCTCACCTCTCTTCCCTCTCCCATCTCCTCTCTCTCCGCCTGTGGCAGTGAGTCCATCCATCCACACGTTCACCCCTTCATCTCCAGCCCTGTGCCAGCTCCACATAATGGGCCCGTTTTGGCACACCGCTGCAAAGAGACCGTGCCTTGTTGTGTGTGACACCTGGCTCGCCTCTCTCGGCTTCAGCCAGATCACTACATTGATTTATTGCTGTGGATATTATAATCTGATGGGCCAGTTTAACATACATCCAGAAATATGCACAGTGCCAGACAGAGTTTTATTTTCATCAAAATCTACAAATGATGTGTCTTTGATCTCTCTTGCTGTATTGGATTGCTGCCCATGCTTGAAACATTTAGTGCTGTTCTATTTTATGTGTTTGGGTATTGTTTATTTGGCTGGGACAGTGCAGGTTTCCCATTCAAGTGCCAAAGTAGCAGAATTGTTTAATAAGCACTTGAATCCAGGACACTTTCTATTAGGGCTCCACTGAAGTCTGAATATCTGAATATCAATACTGAACCTGAAATGAAATGAAAAGACACAAATAATGTGGTAGTAAACTTATTTGTTTTGACCTTTTCTGTCGTATGTGTGCTCTGTATAAAAGTTTGAAAATAACAAATATTGTATTTGTCATAACATTTGTGTTGTAGCAGTCCTCACTCATTTCACCTCCACCTTAAGTCTGTTCCACATAAAAAACTAAAAAACAATGGGTGAATAAAAACCACTCTCTGGGTGGAAGACTTGGGCTAGTTTCCCAAAATATATATTTCACCCGTTTATTTTTATTTTTTTAACCTTGGAGAATTCAGTTTGGCTGGACTTCCTGGCGCCAAAGTGAATTACGATACAACCTTTCAGTATACAATATATACATATATATATATATATATATATATATATATATATATATATATATATATATATATAATCAGCCAAATATTAATTATTAAAAATGGTAATTTAAACGACATTCCAATTGGACTAATGCAGGAGAGCCATGCTTCAGTTTTCCCATAATTCCCAAAATGATGTTTTCCAAAACATCTACAGTTGCCCTCTGTAGCCCCACCTGTTTGGCCCATGGAAATCTCCAACCGTTTTTTTTTGCCACCTTTATGTTTTTCCATCACTTGTGTGTTTCAATGCAGATGGTTTTTGCTTATGTTTCAGAGCCACTGAAAGTTACATAGAGCACCTTTAAGTGCAACGCAAACATTCTGTGCATAAAAACACATGGACTGGACACAACAGACACAATGGTTTATCAGATGTGGTTAGATTGGCTTAAAAGAATGAGTGATTATGCAGAGTAGTATGGAGAGATGGAAAGACAAGTGCAAATGAGAGCGAGCAGAGGAGATGGAAGAAGCATGAATAGGGAAATGATGGCTCAGTGTGAGAGCTGCTGTGTGAATGTGAGAGTGAAGGAGAACAGAATGAGGCTGAGAGGGCTGATAGAATTAGACTCTCCACTGAGGACGTGTGTGTGTGTGTGCCTGTGTGTAAGTGCGTGTGTGTGTGTGTCTGTGTGTGCGCCTGTGTGTGTGTCTGTGTGTGCGCCTGTGTGTGTGTCTGTGTGTGCGCCTGTGTGTGTGTGTGTGTGTGCCTGTGTGTAAGTGCGTGTGTGTGCCTGTGTGTGTGTGTGTGCGCCTGTGTGTGTGTCTGTGTGTGCGCCTGTGTGTGTGTCTGTGTGTGCGCCTGTGTGTGTGTGTGTGTGCGCCTGTGTGTGTGTGCGCGCCTGTGTGTGTGTGCGTGCGTGTGTGCCAGTGTAAAAACATTCCATCAACCGTAGTCCATCAAGATTAATCTAAACTAAGCGATTAGGTCTTTTTGTTTTATGATTATGAAGTTGTTCACTGCATTTTGCATATATTTCCTGGCATGTTTTAGTGACACTAAAAGCATGTTCTATTCCTGTACATTTCAAACTCAACTGAAATGTATTTATGTTTAAAGCCAGTGTATGTAAATGCTTGTGGTGACCCTGGGAAACCACAAGCTCACAAATAGACAAATTACATGTATGGATGATTTTACATTTGTCTTTATATTAATGTTATGTAAATACAATCGTGAGCATTGCTTATTATTGTGTTTTGATCATATTTCATCATTTTCATCCGGCTCTGACTCTCTCCTCTTTTTGTCGCAGGCGGAGATCGTCAAGCGTCTCAGTGCCATCTGTGCTCAGATCATCCCATTCCTCTCACAAGAGGTAAGTGTCACAACCATGCTCACACACACATGCACTCCTACACACACACACACAGACACACACATGCATTTAGCACATGCGCACATTCCCACACAAATGCACACACTCATGCACGTCATGTCAACGCACTTGTTGGCCACGATTACAATTGTTTTGTCTGGTACTGAAGCATAAGGGGCAGGTATGATGTGTCCAGGTGAAATACAGTACATAGTGTTGTATACTACCTATTATGGGATTCTCTAAATCCTCCATTCAAATTGATTTTCGATTTTAGGCTCACGATTTGATTAGATTCTTGATTTTTCTTTTTCTTTCAGCGTACTGTAGCGTGGGTCTAGTACGCTAAATAAATGTTTTAATCCAGTGTTTTCTACCACCGAATAAGGCTGCTATTAAGACCCTGTCAATATAAATTGATTCATAATTTATACTATAACTAATTAGCGCCTATCCACTACAGTTTAGCTGTCAAATTAAGGAAGCGCATTGAAACCGTAGACTGTCATTGACTTTGAATGGAAACTGGATGCTCCGTATAGTCCGGTGTGTATGCCTCTTAACACTCTGAAACCAATGTGAAGAGACAGGGTTTGATCTGTCCAAGCCGGCACGGGAGCATCACCCATGACAGAATAGAGCACATATACACACACGACCGATCGCACCACATAAAGTCCGTTTATGTAAATATCTCCTGAGTGAGATCAATAAAGTCTATATTATCTTAAACAAGCGGACTCACAACTAACTTTAATGTGCTCTCGTTCACCGGAAAAACCCGGAGGCGCCGGTCCACCAATTTAAATAGTCTGGCATGCGCGCACAGAGGCAATAAACGCTACATGGATCGCCAATCCATGCTCGAGACCATGGCGTAATTTCGATCAATTTTTGATTTTTTTTAAAAACTAAATCGTGACACCCCAACCACCTATAGATATGTAATATTTTCTAAATGTCTAAAAAAAGACATATTTAGAGCGTAATTGTTTATCTGTATTATATAGCAAAACTCTCTTTTTTAAATGACTGTGTGGACACATGTCCGCTGTGTCAGTGCTCCCGAGAGATGGAAACGTCACTTCTCTGTCAACTTGTTCAATATTGACTGAGGCGGTGCAGTGTGAAGGCACACATGCATGTTTGCACTGGAGCGACTGATTACACTGGGGTTTAGTGCAAACACCACATGTGTGTGTTTGAGCATACATGGGCCTGTGCTGGTTCCTTTCATGGATCCTGAATGGATGCTTGCTCAATCTAGTGTTGTGTTGGTATTTACACATCCTCTTGCAAAAGCCTGACTTTCTCTTCACAGTTTTAGATGTTTAAGGCATAAATGCTGTAGTGTAACATGTCCTTTTGTGTCCCCACAGCACCAGCAGCAGGTGGTCCAGGCGGTGGAGAGGGCCAAGCAGGTCACAATGGCAGAACTGAATGCAATCATTGGGGTGAGTCATTACTATGCTGCTCTGTAACACATTCACACAGGTGGACTTGTATTACTGCTGCAATCGCACAGCACAATGTGACGGAAATTAAATGAATAGGTCCCAGTCAGAGAGCGAAGAATTATGAGAGTGCTTTGAGGGAGACGGAAAAAATCTCTACTGTTACAAATGTACTAAAAGACAATTACACATGATGCAGAAGGAGACAAACCAAACCTTTGACATTCACACATCTTCTAAAGTCAGGGCCTTCTAAACAAAAAACTGTAATTTTGAATAGGTTCGCGGCAAGTTTCCGCTGGCCAAACATGTTTTCCTTCGGTTTCTATTTTATTTCAATTGGATATGATTGTAGATGCAGTAAACGTAAAGTTGTAATTTTTAATTTAGAGCACAAACACAAAAGTTATTTGCCTTTTTTTTTGTAAAATCTAAATTGTACATCTATGAAAACGAAGTCAGTTATCAATCATTTTAGAATAATGCTGTTGACCATAAACACCACGTAAAATTATCTCCATAGTTTAGGAATCAATTACATAAATGACTACATAGACTTAGACCTGCAAAATAATTGCAGGTTTAAGTATAAAGGAGGCAGAATTCAATGAAAATGTGTTTCAAAAGTATTTTATATCAAACAACCCGGTGTGTCATGAAGATGTTCCTCTGGAGCTTTGTTTTGGTAAAAAAAAACTGATATTCACTGACCTTCCCAGATCTAAACAACTTCAAAAATACTTATCAAAATAATTGTTATTGAAAGCTCCAATACAGTGTTGATGATCAGACCCTGGAAGCGGTGGACTACCTGGAAGTTTAATATAGTTTTTCAGAAAGAGTGCAGAGTTACAGAGGCTTATAAAGCACAATATACATCATTTCCAGATGCAACAGTATTATGAAGCGTTAATGAACGAGAATATACAGATACAGCGTATGTAAAGGCTTTATCCTTAAGAGATTGTTGCTCTTTGTTAGTCCAGTTCTGTTCAAGATATTCAGGCTTTAGTTCACACTTGTTCAAGACAACAAAAACACGACCACAACGAGGAACTCGTGAAGCCCTCTGTGTTTGAAAGATTAAATAGTTATACTCGCTCCACCCGCCTTGAAAGCCCCTACCTCCTCCTATACTTGTGAACGTGTCATAAGGACTTTGCGTACGACAGGTTTGTAGATGTGCAGCAGTGACACTGATGCTCTTTCTGCTGCTTGTCAAGGCTCTGATCACATTACTGTCTACTAAAAAGCCCTTTGTTCTCTGCACTACAAACACAGCCGTCTCCTAGGTAGGCGTGTGTGTGTGTGTGTGTGTGTGTATGTGTGAGTGTGTGAGTGCGTGCGTATGACACAACCCAGCTCACATCAGAGCGTTCCCCTCAGGATAATAGTCTTTCTTTATCTCATGCTGTTACATTTTGTCTTTTCATTTCATTGTGGGTTTTTTTCATTCCTTCGTTTATAATCTCCCATTTTGTATCTCATGTTTCTCTCCCTGCTACGCCATCATCGCACTTTTGCCTTTTCTGATGATTCCATTTGATTTGTTTCTGTTATATCACGCATACGTTCTAACCTCCATCCCCTCCTCTCGCGCCTCTCTCCCCTCCTATACCTCTCCCTCCTCCGTACCCCCCCCCTGTGGCCACAGCAGCAGCAGCTCCAGCACCTGTCGCACCACGCCCCCGGTATCCCCCTGACCCCTCACCCGTCGGGCTTGTCTCTGGGCGCTGGCGGTTCGGGTCTCCTGGCGCTGACCGGTGCTCTGGGAGTGTCTGCTCACCTGGCCTCAAAAGATGAACGCAACCACCTGGACCCAGAACACCTCAGAGGTATTTACTTCTCACACACCGCTTAAAGATGCAGTCAGTGATTTTTTCCAGACGCATTTTTTTTTTTTACATTGTGGGAAAACGTCCTTAAACCCTAAAAGTAGTCAAGTTTTCATGTGAGTTTTTACCCCCCTTCCCCCTCTTGCTGTTTCTCGCAAGTGCGCTCACCTGAGTTATCGGATTATTTTCTAAAACCTAAAATGACTGAACAGAAAATGCCAATTTCATGTTTGCCACCCACTCTCCCTGTTGTGACAAAGAAAAGAAAATGCTGGATGTTTGGTTTGGTGGAGAGGCGAGGGAAGGGGGGAGTGGTTTCGAGTTGATGCTACAGCTAAGCTAACAAAATCACTAACCACCTTTAAAGATGGAACACAGAAAAACCACAACAAATTATACAATCAGATCTGGGTAACTAGCTCCTTGCTCTCAAAACTGTTGGCTTTTTTCTTTTCACATGCATGTACTTTCGGCCGCTGTCACATTTTGAGATCAGCTTTTCGAATGAGGGCGGGTACCCTCACTCAGCTAATAGGCTCTAAATATGTATAAAATCAAATGTTTTCTAAAGATAAAGACGGTATGCGGTCTGATTTGTTCACAAAAAGATTATTATTAAGACACAAACAAACACTGTTTATGAAAGAAAAAGCAAAGTGAGGTATTCCACCATTAACGCTACATTCTGAATGTAAGAATGGGTTTAGGCTTTTTATGTTTTATAAAGGAGTATTAATTGTCTGTGTGATAAAGATAAAGCCAACAGTCACAGAATTGTTGATTTACTAATTTGTATAGAAGAACTGTTTAATCAAAGTCCATAAACGTCTGTAAATGTCCAGGATTATCATCATAATATTGATTTGTCTGCTGGGTTTTCACAGTTGTAACTAACACCCAGAAAGAGAGAGGCTCGTTCTCTGATTGGATGATGGTCTGTCTATACCAAACACCTTTTAAACTCTTATAATATCTTGATATATTTTTTTCTTATATGTAAGCTGTGACACCTTTTTGTGAGGTTGTCCAAAATATAGAAAATCATAACAATACTAAAACTGGTATTGAAATTTGATACTCATTTGAGAAAGTGTCAGTAATGAAAAAATACCATGGCGCTGTTTTATTATTTTATATATATATCTCAGAAGTATACAGACTTGTAGTGCCATAAACTACCTTTAAAACAGCAGTAACTTCAGAAGTGATACTGTATAGGAGCTTTCAGAGGCTGGAAGGCTCTTTCTTTATACTCTGTTTGTATTTAGCAGTGTATTGATGTGAGCTTTTGTTTCCAGAACTACAAATTCACATGCATTGAACAAACAATTACACTCTGGAATCCTTTAGAAGGCGTTCACAGGTTCTCTGGGAAAATGATCTCGGCTCAAACCATTACACATCCATCTGCATTTTCAGCTTGTGCAGAATTTATTTCATTTTGGAGTGGACACGAAACAGCTGCACAGCCAACGTAAATCACTTTACCATTTCAGAACATGAATGCAAATCAGTGCTATACGTTTTGAAGCAGACAACTTATGAGTAATTTCACTGCGGTCACTTTCGGAATGTAATCCGTTCTAATATGGACAGAAGTACTTGTGCATTCAGAGGAGACGCTTTCTCTCAATGAACTTCTTTTCACCTCGGTAATAAAATCTAATCTTTGTGCTGTGGGCCAGGAGACACTTTCTCATGAATAAAATGGGGTTTTGGTAAATGTATGATGAGCAGAAAGAGCGTCTGAGGAGCAATCAATGTGCTCATGGATGTTTGTACATGTTGAGTGCGTGACCAGATATTGGTGGGATCTGTACAGTCGTCCTCTGTCTTTAATAGAGAAGGGCCTGTTCAGAGAATAACCTTGGCCATAACTGTTATTCTTATCAGGACTGACGTCAAACTATCTTCCTTTTTCTTTCTTCCTTCATGAACTCGTGTTTGCTCCGCCTGAGCCAGAGGGAGCCCCCAGCCGGGTGAGTGACGAAGATGCCCCAACATACTGTACACTCAATGAAATTATAATTATGTATAACATATACATACAGTTGTGCTTACACTCCCAGGCAGAGATTTCAGTGTTATATTTTAAAAACAAACTAACAAATTATTTTCCACTAATTGTTAATCGTTGTATGAAACCGCATTTGAGAAATCAAACGTGCAGTTCATGCAAGGTAGACCCTGAATTTACAGAAACTGGAGGTTTTTTATCATGAAGAATGGGCAGCCTTTGCCTCAGAGAGGATAAAGAACCTCATCCACAGTTATAGATGTTAAATTTGGGAATACACACTATTGAGAACGAGGAGATGACAGGTTCTGTTGTCTTTATCATTTGAAAATGGAAAATATATTTATTTGACAATGGCTTCACCCAACCACAACAATGAGAAACAAGTCATTGTTCATTCCTAATCTCTGAAATATGTCCAAAATGTTTTTGAAATGTTGTGCTGCTGTACATATTGTAAGTCATTTAGAATTCAGGGAAAATTGAAACGTATCCCTACTTCACGATGACACAAACTCATATTGCCTTGAACCTAACTCCACTCATCACCACTAACGCCTGTGCATTTGACACTAATCCTGAAGAATTTATAATATGAGAAAATGGATGAACAACTGTTTTTTTATTGTCAGAAAGCATACATAATCTCTGAGATTGGAGAGGATTATTAGAAGATATTGGAAAATACTGTCCATCAACCTTGTGTTCTGTAGATTAAAGTAGACGGTGGTTGTGGTTTTGTGACAGCCTTATTATTACAAACAGTGGCGCCAGCTGCATGTGAAAGCCTGATCCCGGCAGACCTCAGCCCCAAGACAACTGTGGCTACTGCAGCAGTTTATCACCACAGTGAAATGGTGTGAATGAATAATGACATGCGATGACGTCTTTCTGTGTACAAAAAAAAACTATTTTTAAAACCAATACAATATTACTATTATTATGAATATTATTAAAATCAATCTTTGGTTATCTTCTGATTTTTATGTAATATCCCCCACCCCTTCACTAAACATAGTTCTTGTTTAGAAAAAATGTAGGTTTTGCTGAAAAAGTGTACATCTTAACAAATGAGAATGATTGTTTTTGAAATCACAAACAATCATTTGGAAACTGCCAACCATCAGCATCATTTCATATTCATCTCTTTAGACTTATGTGTAAATCAGGAGTCTAGTCTGTCTCTGTGTAACAATGCTCATTTTCAGTTTAATCCACTAGAAATGGTTGATAGACAGTTCAGGCTGATAGTAATTCAATTTGCATCACAGTAAACTGTTTTGAACAACATATAAGAGTAACATGTCTTTGTTATCGCTTAACAATGGAAAGAGAGTGATTTAGAACAGGTGCTGGCTTAGCTTCTCTTTTCCGCTCTTCATCCCTGCTCTGAAACCCTTAGCATAATTTAATTGGCAAACACAAACTCCAGGAAAACGTCCCTCTTGTGAGTTTGAGGTTTGCACTGAACCATGGAGGATCTCAACAAGATGAGCATCAGGAAAGGCAAATCAGTGCAACATTTTCAACACAAGGGAGCGTTAAAAAACCACAGCAAAGTTCATCGTCTGTGTCTTTCTAGTCTGAGTCACCGCTAGCGTCTTTAAACTCTGCTGTCCCACTCCCCACAGAGGGACCGACAATAACAAGTGGACCCCGTGGCACCCCTGGCTCTTGCCTCTGCCAAACAGCGCAGTGTGATGGCTTTTCTCCTCTGCTCAGAGCGCTGGCTGTATTGTAAATATGTCGGCACAGCTTTATTACCCATTAATGAGAGCCATATTTTACAAGAAGGCCGGGGTGTCGAGAAGGGAGCGCTAATTAGCTTTATAGGCCATCCTGCATGTAATCTGTAACCTGCTGCTTACGTCTGCTCTTCCCACTGCAGTACATGTATGTACACTTTAGCAGTGTCACTGTCTTGATATATCACGGCCTTTACCAAAGCTTACGTCTCCAGATTGTTCCTATGACACACATGGATCTCTAACTTGCTGGCCTCGTAGAAAGATTACTTTAATTCTCTATTTTTCTACTCAATAAAGAAGAAATATTTTGTGTTATTTTTGGCCGTTAAAATAGATTGTGATTCTTTTTACTTTGTCATTTCATGTTTTCAGAAGTGCTAGAATATCTTGTTAGAGGATATATGGTGAAACAAGTGTGATTGGTCTGTCCTATCCCTACCTAAAAACAGAAATTAGAAAAAAGGTGTAATTTCACTAGACAATTTGCCATAACTAAATTAGGTGCAATACTTTTGTTTTAAAAGGCAGACAGCTCCAAGGATGATGTCAGAGTGTCACAATGACATCATACAGAACTGAGATAGGAGCTTTTATATGATTGTGTCAGAAGTTCCTGATATTGATGTGGCTGAACTACTCTCAGTCTGTTTTTGAGGAAACCATATCGGAACATGGTTAAAAGCTCAAAAAGTCTGTTTTTAATAAAATGTTTCCAGTAAAGCTAATGCGCTGTCTCTCCCCTGCTCTTCAGAGTAAATCAGTGTCGTCGACAGACAGTCAGCCGAACGAGGAGCGCCAGGGTCCGTCTGGAGGGTACAGCTCGTCTCAGGGAGGAGCAGAGGCCAAGAGGAGGCGATGTGAGGACAAGGACTCGCTGCCACCGCACTCATACGTACGCCTGTTCTCTTCTATCGTTTCCCAATGATGTTTTGTGTAACACACTCATTGACACTTGGCATGATTCATTAGAACTCTGTGCCTTTCACACCCCGGAAGGAGGAATTATTACTGTCACACCATATAGGGTAATTTACACGTTTGGTTTGCTTCTTAGGGAGGTTGGGATTCTCAAGAGCGATTTTGAAGAGGCTGCTTCCTTCCACAGTGGAGGGAGGTTCAACTTGTCTTTTACATCATAACCTAAACCTAAAAAAAGGCGTCTGCTCAGCCACCAATTAAAAAAACTGCATGTTTCAGATCACAGTATTGGTTGCTTTAAAAGTATGCGTGATTAGCATACTGGCTCGTCTTCGTCCATCAGGCTCTTTTGCTCGACTAGTCCGCTGCACCACAAACCGCTTGGCTACAGACTAATGCAGCGAGGTTGGGTTCAGGAGCATATTTCTGTATGTGCAAAAATAATTGAACATGAGTAGTGTGTTTTCTGACTTTGTTGTGACTGGACGTGCGGGATGTGTGACGACTGTGACGTTTCAGCTGGTGTGGGGAACCAGGGTGACTTGGAGCTGTGTTTAGTTTGGTCCAATAGGCAAGAGCTGAGAGCCAGAGGCGGCATGATGCCAGGAGAAACGGCAGCCAAAGCAGATATCTGTATTGAATTAGAATGTTTGCTGTCTTGGGGATTGATTGACTGTGAGAGTCTGCCTGCGGGGATGGCCTCTGGCTAAATCAGTGTAGCTACTGCATTAGTATAGACTAAATACTTATAGTCTCTATTTTGTTTTATACGTATCACTGTTTGTTTTTTCTGTATATGGTAAGCTTTTCCAACTGCTCTCCCTTGTCTTTGGAAATGAGTTGAAGTGGGAGTGGCTGGGGGGCTTCATATGCACTGCACTGCAGGGAGACCGCAAAACTAGAAAACAGAGTTTAGTATGAGTTTATTATTTGATTGAAAATATTGCACAAATTCTGTCTTCAACGTATCGTGGAATTTGATATTGGGATTCCCTTGGGAACTTTGGATTAGACTTTGGGAACTTCTTTAATGGACTATGGCAAGTTTATCATCCACATGGAGCAATATTATAAATATTTTTTCAAGAAAAACATACTAAGGAAAGAGCTTCACTCACTTTACTGTCATAATGTACAGTCCCTCCTATGACTTGTGCGTAGTCAGACCTTCTTTTCCTGACCCACATTTGACAAGAAAGACTAGGTCACAAGGCGAGTTAAATTTCTTGTCATTTTTTTTGTTTTTTTTTCTCAGAATAAATGAAAGTTTGTGGTTCCTCCTCTCCACAAATCCTCCTTCACTGTTCTTTTAATTCCAAGCCTCCACCCCTCCTCTCTCCCCGTTTTCTCGTCAGGCCCCTGAACACAGGCTTGTTTTTGGCCGGATATAATTAGGCACTGATGTCACTCAACATTGATGTCAATAGAAATATCAGGCCATGATCACATCAAAGCTCAGTTCAGTTGCCATGACAACTAAGTGCCATCATTCTCATCGCAGAAAGAGGAGAGAGTGAAAGACATAGAGAGTGTTTTTGTATATTTTTCAGAACATCTTTGAGTGTAGTGTGCAGTGTGATGTGTGTCTGTGTTAAAGGTTGTATATGAGCAGAGAGCAGCCTGCGGTATCGACATATTGATCCATGTTCACTTGAGCTTCAGTCTTTATTATTCTGTATGCTTATGTACAGTACACGCCACATCTGCCAAGAGCAGGGAGAAAAAGTGCCTTGTTTTGGTAGATTTATTGACACAACCCTTTGTCTCTTCTGTCTTTCTCTATTAGGACAGTGATGCGGAAAAGAGTGAGGACAACCTTGTGGTGGACGTCTCAAATGAAGTAAGTGAAACACACTAGCCCTGCTCAGCCCTGAAACTTTAGCTATACAAGACCACCAAAATCAATAACGGAAAGGAATAAAAGAAAAAAGACAGAAAGAAAAATGTAGATAAATTCTTGTTGCAAGCCAGGTGTCAACTTTGGGGTCGAATTGGTTTACATAAAGATATAGATTTGATTGTTTACTTTGAATAATGAAGTAGGGATACAGCATGTCTGTGAATTTGCCAATACATTGTTGACATGTATCAGGATGCCGTCACAATGTATCACTTTCTGGTTCTCTTTGAAATAAATCTAATCTCTAGACTTGATAATACGGCTTCAAATAATGACAAACATGCAGCTGTAAGCACAAGTGTGTTCCTAAAAGCAGCAATATCAATAGAGAGGTCAAAAGTCTCTAGGATTGTTCAACTTAATTTTCCCAACGGTCCAATCTTTTGGTTGGCCATGTGCTCTGGGCCTGAGAATTATGAAACGCGTTACCACTTTAAACATTTAACAACAAAAATAGCAACTACTAATGCAGGTACAATTCATATTATTGTGGAAAAATTATTGTCAAACAATTATATGTGTCTTGTTTTTGACAAAATGATCTAAACAGTAGATTTGCCAAAAATGAATAGGAATGTTTTGCTTGTACCATTTAAAAAATTGGGTTAGACAGTTGGCTTTGTCTGGTTTTACAAAATGCAATTTGAGGGCCGGTTTACAGTAGATTATTCGCAGGGCCTGATTTATAGCAGAGATGACACTTTACGCTGCAGTTTACAGGTCTGAGGAAGAGTGAAAAGAAGTCATCCCACCCCTTTGCCCAAAGCTCAGTCTATATTTGGTGATTCTGCATTGACCACAGAACATACAATGGAATTCTTCACTGTGTAACAATGTGCACGTGCAATCAATTTTTAGCTGAAACTAAAACAAAGAAAGCATATATTCATGTCTATCCAGATTCAGAGTAGTATGTTTTTTTTTCTCCTGCTAAATGGGCACCAGCAGAGTTATATCCAGTGTTGGGCACGTTACTTTGAAAAAGTAATTAGTTATAGTTACTAGTTACTTCTCCCAAAAAGTAACTAACGGAGTTACTCCACTATAAAAGTAACTAGTTACCAGTAAAAGTAACTATTGCGTTACTTTTTCGTTTTGTTCTGGAACATAATGTGCACTCGAGGTGCGCATTTTTACCTTTAACCTTTAACCTTTAACCTCAGTGAGTCTGAAATAGTGCCAATATTTCCATCTAGAAAAGGCTGTTTTGCTGCTGAAGTCCTGTTCACTCTTCATCTCTCTCTCTGTGCTGTAAGCACTAAACACCAACACCCGCCACTGTGAATGTGGAAACACCGGTGAAGCACTGACTTCAGCCCAATCAGATGAACATATATATCATATAAATCAAGTGGACAATTTGTTTGGCTACAGCAAAATATGTTTCATGGCCGCATTGTTTGTTCATACAAAACGCAAAACTATGAGTTATGGGTCTTACCTTATAAATGACCTGCACAGACCACTTCAGTTCAGACCAGTTCTGTGTTTAAGTCCAGATAATAGTTTAAGCGTAGATATGTAATCCTCCATTTGGAAATGAGTTTTAAAAAGTAAAACAATCTTAATATAATACATCCATGGTGTGTCCTCCGTAAACTACTCTGTTTTGCTGCAGCCGGCTGCATCCAATTTCTAAAATCAACCGTCTTACACTTCACCTCTTTCTTATCATTCCTATAGTAATTGAAAAATTACCGTAAGTGCATTTTAAATTATCTTAAAATGTGTTATATTTATGTTAGCCAAACTTGTTGCAGCTCTTAGCAGATAAACCAGGAAGAGAAAGGAGCTTTCTGATGGAATTGTATGCAGCCGACTTCTGCGCTCACATGCGCTCCTCTGAGCCCTCACGGTGATACAAGCCGTGGTTGAGCGCGACTAAGACCCATATTTGTTTCAAAAACACAATTTATGACCATCCTCTCAACTGTAGACATGTGGATTGTAAAGGAAATATGTTTTACATCAGCCAATAACATCTGAGAGGTTTTCTCATCCTCCCTTCTCTCATGACAACACGCGCACGAGTCCTATCACGAAGTAAAAAGAGAAGTTCATTGTGCGTCTTGAGTAACGCGCAGTAACGGGATGTCGGAAATGATAACGGCGTTATAGTTACAGTCAAAGTAATTAGTTAGATTACTCGTTACTGAAAAAAGTAACGGCGTTAGTAACGCCGTTACTAGTAACGCCGTTATTCCCATCACTGGTTATATCACCCTTTTCCTTTCCACTGTGAAACTTTCTTCTTTTTTTAACTCAACCTCTCTCACAGCTCACGCCTTGTACACAGATGGTTCACAAAATACCTTTCAAATCCCAGTTACAAGCAGCTTTTATCCAGCGGAGACTGCGACACACTAAAGCCCACACAAGAAATGGCACCTGTTACTGCGTGGGGAGTCTTCTTAGTCAACATTTTGGTCTTCGTTCCTAAATAAAAACAATACCCCGGGTTTATGTCCAAATGTTCAAATTATCCCTATAATTTCTAATAAAGTGTCCTTAATAGTGTCATCTTAACACTTTAAACTTGTATGTGGCAATCTTTAGTCTATTAGTTTACTGATTGTTATATTTAATTTTCTAGGTTCAAAAAGTGCCAAAATGAGACCATTTGAAGAAGAACTGCTGAAGTTGTACAGTTATAGGGTAGGGCGACAGGGCTAGGCAGTATTTCAGACATTCTTCAAGGTTATTTAATAATGCCTTTTTGTATATCAATGAGAATAGGTTTATTTTAAAGAAGACAAAGGGAAGAAAACTTCAGAGAGAACCAGTATTTTGTGTACGATTGTTTAGCTCATCTTTTGCGTTGTGGTTATTTTTGTGCATTTAAGTAATATTCTGAAATTAGGTTTGTATCAATTATGACTAATTAAGTTTTGGGGTCGTTGTTTAGAGGAAAATAGAATAAAAAAAAAAAAAAAGACCTTTTCACAACAACTGGAAGTGCCGCCTCCTGGTGCTGGATCACTTCCTGTTTGGTCTCTTATTTTTACCAACATTAGTCAGTTTCCCAGCTTTTTTGATCGCTGCTGCGGTAGGATTGTTTTCTTGCCCTACAAGAGCAACCAGGAACAGAACCAAAACAACTGCGTCAAGATTGAGCTTGAGCTTGATTTCCTCGAAGCTGTGTGTTATGGTAAAGAATAGCCACCGGAAATGGCTTAGCACCACCTATGGTTTAAACACGGTGTGAAAAAGGTCTATGATGGTGGTGTATGGGTGGATGGGAAGCCTGATATTTTGTCAACGTCTTATTTTCTTTGATATTCAAGCCAGATCAAAATCTCAATCATAAATTTCATTGATTTGTTTTATTTTTCATTCATTAGGTGATTATAGTTTGGGGCAGAGAGAGAGAGAGAGAGAGAGAGAATTTATGCAGTTTTCTAACTAAGTTCTAACTAATCACCAAAACTAGCATGTTTTTATTCTTCATGAAGCATCAGTTTCATAAAATGTTGCATGTTCTCCCCGTGTCTGCGTAGGTTTCTTCCGAGTACTCCGGTTTCCCCTACCACTAAAAACATGTACAGTAGTTCTGGCATGCGCCTCCTGTACTGGCCCCGCTCCCATCTCTGTGTGGAGTGAGAGGACAAATGCCCAAAAATAACAATTGTAAACCGCTTTGTGACTCTGGTCTGTGAAAGGCGGTATATAAATAAAGATTACTTACTTACATTCTGTAATTACATAGTCAGTCTTGTTCTATTGAATGTTACAAAGCTGTTTATGCCCATCATGGACTATTAACAACAAAAATAACCTTACGCAGTGATTCAGAATGTGTCTCATACAAGCTATTTTTGATATTACGCTCAAAGACTGGGCCAAAATGTATGATTTTTATGACGAGTGCAAAAGGGAACAAGAAAAGAACGGGAAAATAATCAGCGGAACTCTGGGGATGTGTTTAGTCCAATTAGCTTTTGCTTAATTTAATGCCAAATTTCAGAGGTAATTTGGGGATGCTTTTTGTTTGTTTCCACTCCCTTGCAAATTCCACTGAAACCAAGTACACTTCCATACCAAAGCTCAAAATATCAGTTGACATCAAATATAGTTGAGTTATAACAGTTCAAGTTCTTTACGCAGTTTTAGGCATCACATAATTAAATATGTTTATTCTCAAGACATAAATGCGTCAAACAATAGATGTGACTCGTTAAAGTGCACTTGAGCTGTATGAAAGAGACAAAGACAGAATCGTGTTGCCTAAAAAAATTGTATTTGAGTGTGCACCGCGCGCTGAAAGATGTTGGGAGCACTTACAGATGGGTCAAGTAACTCAAGGCAATAGACACACCACAACAAAGACAAAAGGAATGCATTATAAGGAGCCACTCGTTCGAATATTACATCTCTCAAAATAAGTTAGCGCTGAAACTGACAATCTTTCAAGATAAAAGGGTTCTGAAAAAGCCATCCCAAGGACATGGCTGATGATCTCTTTGTGAATATGAAACAGTGAAATGTGGTGAAACTGTCAAAGACTACATTACCATGAGCACCACAAGCTTCAAGGGTGACTGCTGAACTAAAAAGTGTTTTGTTTTCCTCTTATTTACGATTATTCATTCAGGAGCCAAACTCTCCAGCAGGCAGCCCCCCTCACTCTCCACATGGGAACGGCTTAGACCGGGCCCCCACTCTCCGCAAAGAGCTTCCTGGCTCCTCAGGCACTGATGCTCCCACCACCCCAAACCCACGTAGTCCTACCCCTGGGAAGAGCAAGGACCCTGCACAGGTGAGATAAATACCTGCAGACATTACAACAGCCCTGTGATTGCAATGTTCTGGGAAAAGCCCCATTTACTGTTGGTGTGTTCTTAATGTGTAGATGGACAAATCGCAGTCTCCATTGTCTAAGTCTGGCACGCCGTCTCCGTCCCACCGGGAGGCTCTCACCCCGGGGGCCCCAGGCGCTCCTGGTCCCAGCACATCCTGCCTTCGCCTGGTCAGCAAAGCAGCCTCATCTGCTGACCCACTTGGTGAGATTCTCCAAGATTTATGTTCAACACATTTGCAAAAGATGCACTAGACTAGTTTTGCAATACACAGTGAGACATGAAAGATTGGAATGCAGATGTGATGGGTCCTTGAACACCCCTGTCCTCCGTGCTAATCCTTGAGCCTTTATTCATTTCCCAGTTTTGACACAGACCCAGACCCTCACAAGAGCGATCAAAGAATATACTGTAGTATTTCCACCTATCTCTCAAGAAAAGAAAACACTTTCCTTTGCTCCTTTGTGGCAGTGATTTGACACTCCTTCTCCCCTCCAAACCCTCTTCCCTGCCCAGCTCTCCGCAGCCCCTTGTCTGTACCCCCTGGTTCATACCCGGCTCACTTTGGGGTGGTGTCCCACGCAGGACTCAATGGTGAACTGGCCAGCCCTGGAGGTTTTGGAGGCCCTTTGACTCTGTCTCCACAGATCAGTGCAGCAGCCAGCGCGTATTCGCGGAGCCCCATGGTGAGTTGAGAACAGCGGATTCATTGTTGATTGTTTAGGACTAAATATATTATAGATCTATTGGATATTACTCTCACATTCACTGATTTGATGTAACTGTGATCCAGGTTGCATATGATTCTCGAGCTCATCTCAGGGCATCTGGATTATCCTCCTCTCTTCCTGGTGCATCAGGAGGCAAGCCGTAAGTGCTTTTTCAAATAGTTTTGTTACAAATTTGCGAATCAGCCTTTAAATATGAATCTATGTGACGGCATCAGCCAGTCACCGTCTCTTGTATGCCCGGGTCCAATTGCTTATTTCTTGCCTATTCAGTAACAGTGCTGTTTGTGTCACTCGCAGCAAAGTAGCAAATCATTCTTGCAGTGCTAATTTGAAATCAAAACAGTGCCTTGGCTTCCTGCAGCTTCAGTATTGATCCACTATTAGCAACAGCACAATGACTCTGGCTAAACACGCCATAGCCTTGTTCCTGAGTATTATTAATCACCATTATTTACATTCCTATCAAGATGACAGAACCAGGAAGACTGTGTTTCCTGCTTGACTCCCCCCAAACACATCGCACACCCTCTAATAGAGATTGACCAGGCCGGAACAGTGGCTGAGTGGTTAGTACTCTTGCCTCAGCCACAATGTCATAGGTTAAACTTCCTGTCGGAAACAGGGCCTTTCTGAGTGGAGTTTGCATGTTTACTTGTGCCATAGGTTTCCTATGGATGCTCTGGTTTCCCCTACCTCTAAAAACATAGTTGTATATAGGTAAAATCTTCAAGCTCTGTAAACCTGACAAAGCTGAGCATTAAAATCTGGAGATAAGTCCCTCGGGGCCTGTACTACATTGCCTCAGATGCATTCCCTACTACCCCTACTTCAAGGGGTAGGAAGCATAAGTTTCACTTCTACCTACTCCTTTTCGAATTGTGCATATATATGTTTCTTCTTTTTGTTTTGTTTTGTATTGCGCATGTAATTCGAAATAAACACTACTACTATTTGCAGCATGGATCAAATGCAGAGGACAAATTTGCCGACAGGGACAATAAGGTATCACTTAACAAAAAGTCCATCATTCTCCAAGGCTAAATCTAAAAATGTCCTAATTGCTAACTAGTGCATGAGCATCATCCCTGTTTATCTACAGCCTTTCCGAAAAAATTAAATAAAACAATCATCCATTTAGAAAACCCATATTAGTCAACCTTCAGGCTTTAATGGCACTGTTAATAATGTAAATATATCATAAAATAGCATTATTTTGTGCATGTATGCCCTCACAAATATACATTAACCTCCTTTCTGAGGTTAATGTATATTGTACACTGTCCCTGTTCAAATAAATAAATAAATGAATGAAAGGTGAATTTCGGAAATTAGAATTTTCACATTTTCATTTACTTCTGTAATTCAACATACACTGACAGTCTGATTTATGACAGATTCATTACACACAAAGTGAGAAATATCAAGTGTTTGTTATAATGGTGATAATTGGCTCACAGCCCAAATAGAACATTTCAGAAAATGGACTGGCAGCCATAATGGACATGTACATATGTCAAGTTTGAGATCAAGTCTATCTTATCTTATCTTAACCATCAAGATTATCACAACAAATGATTGGTATATTTATTTACATGTAATGAGTGGATATCATATACCAGTTTCAGATGGTAAGTTGAAGTACATATTAAATTAAATTGTTATAGTAAGTAAGTAAGTAAGTAAGTTTTCATTTATATACCGCCTTTTCACTGCAGATCTGAGTCTCAAAGCGGTTTACAATTGTTAATTTTGGGCATTTGTCTCTCACTCCACACAGAGATGGGAGCGGGGTCGCCAGTACAGGAAGCGCATGCCAGAACTATTGGACATATTTTTAGTGGTAGGGGAAACCGGAGTACCCGGAGGAAACCTACGCAGACACGGGGAGAACATGCAAACTCCACTCAGAAAGGCCCTGGTCCGACCGGGATTCGAACCCAGGACCTTCTTGCTGAGAGGCGAGAGTGCTATCCACTCAGCCACCGTGCCGCCCAAATAGTTTTATAATTCTAAACTATTTCAAAGGGAAAATTGATCTCATCAACCAAATCATATATTATATGTACTATTAGCATTATTACTATACTGCTCTATTATAATTATTATATAACTATATATTATATGTGCTATTATTACTATACTGTCCTATACTGTTACTATACTCTTCTATTATAATTATTATTGTATAATACGGTCTAATAATAATAATAATATGATGTGTCTATATTAGGGCATTTATTGGGGTTATTAAGGTATTTTTTATTTTTATTTTTGATTGTCACTATTTTTGTATTATTATAGAAATTATTATTTTTGTTATGGGCGTCATTACATCAACATATCAATCCATCATCTATTGTTGGAAAAGAAATAAATGAATCCTGGTTGAAGCTTTGGTGCTGACGGTAGCCAGAGATTACAATTTGAGTATGTTCACAGAACTCACAGAACTCAAAGTACAGGGTAGGCAGAGGGGCTCTGCTGCTGGAGGAACCCTCTGGCAGAGGACCCCCACATACTGTCTCTTTTAATGCACAGATTAGGACACGTAACAAAGATCTGCAGCTCACAGGCTGCTCCCTTTAGAGGCCGATCCGTGGACGCAGAGACTCCCTTTATAAATAAAACACCAGCTAAATACAAGCTTGCTCCCATCAGCACCAATGATCAAATTTAACTCACGTATAACACTAGTGATCAGTAATAATTTATTAAATAGTAAATATACAATATTCTATAATCCTATTTAATTCATACAATATACATGATAATGAAAATTATAAACATGAAAATTATATGGATATGTGGTGGTGATGATGATGTTATGACACCTAAATTCATATAAAATATTAAGGTAACAAGAATATAAACTTATTATACATATACTGTATAAATCAAGGGCATATTAACTTGAATATCACTGTTGCATAACTGCACCACTGACTAAGCTAAGCTATAGCAACCATAATTTAAGTTAATTCAATTAGAATAATTAATAGGGGGTGGGAGTTTAAAAGTTTTAACTTCTTCCCACTCCTTTTTGAGCTGACTTTTTGTTATTTATTATTTATTGTTTATTTGTTTTGTTTTTCTATTCAGTTGTATTGCTGTTATTCCTTGTTCTTGTCTGACATGGCTCGAAATAAAAGTATTCATTCATTCATTCATTCACATATGATTCAAGTATATTAGTATGTATATATTTATTTTTACTTCCCGTGGACCCACCACCTGCGGGAAGATCAGCATGGGACTGGTGCTATGTGAATTGGGTGGCAGTTCTGATTGCCACCCCCCTGACCCAGAAATGGAAAATAAAGGGATGTAAATGAAATGAAATATTTATTTTGCAGAAAATTGATCTGTTTTGCAAATAATCTGGATAGTTGTGGACTGGGCATTGGAAAGCAGCAACATGTATTGTTTTTGTTTAGAATTAAGAGGAGGTTTGGGATTGTGTCTTAATTTTTGTTGTTATTGTTTTATTACGCTGTGAACTTTTTTTCTGAGTTTATGTTGTCCTAGCTGAAGTGTTCACCTTTCCTTACAAACGGTCAACTTTTCTTCTCTCCATCTTTGACATTTCTTGTTCTTGTTTACCTTGCTCCCTCTCACCTGCTCCTTCTCCTGTGCTTTTCCAGTGCATACTCATTCCACGTGAGCGCAGATGGGCAGATGCAGCCCGTGCCCTTCCCCCCTGATGCCCTCCTGGGCCCGGGGATCCCTCGACACGCACGGCAGATCCACACACTGAGCCACGGAGAGGTGGTGTGTGCCGTCACCATCAGCACCTCCACCCGCCACGTCTACACTGGAGGAAAAGGCTGCGTCAAAGTGTGGGACATCAGCCAGCCGGGCAACAAGAGCCCCATGGCCCAGCTCGACTGTCTGGTGAGGCTTGAGTTCAGAGGGCTGAGAAGAGCTGCACTAGGGCTGTTCATTAGCGCTTCATGATTAATTACAACTAAATCAAAATCGCAACTTTTATGGCCGCATTTAGGAAAGACTGCAAATATATGTATTACAACATTTCCTTCACAAGCTTGTTGCCTACAATCCTTTGTCATGGCAAATATCAAAAAACGCAAACAAGAACATAAAGAAGAAATATTATGCATTATTTTTGTCATGCCATGGTGTGACGGTATTATCTTGTGTAGAAAAGATGGTGAAAATAACTAGGCAAAGAAAAAAAAATAGTCTACCTGTAACTCCCTATGCTACCACCAGAGGGAGGGTAGATTTTACTGGTAGCAAAAACAGTCAGGTGTAAAAAAAAAAATCAGTTTCACCTGAGACATTGCCCAAATGAATTTAGGGGCACTACATTGGTGTTAAAATGCAGAGTTTTATATTAAAATACTACCTCGGACTATTCCTGTTTGAATTTCGCTAGTGCACCTTGAACATTATCCTTGCTTCCGAAAATCGCAATCTGAATCATAATCACAAATTTTATCAGAAAAAATGTGCATTCCTACTGTACATGCTGCAATATTTGACCTTGATTTTTTTATTTAATTCTTCATCATATTTGTTCAATCAGAACCGAGACAACTACATCAGATCCTGTAAAATCCTTCCTGACGGCCGGACTCTAATAGTGGGCGGTGAGGCCAGTACACTGTCCATCTGGGACCTGGCCACGCCCACTCCTCGCATCAAGGCGGAGCTGACGTCGTCTGCGCCCGCCTGCTACGCTCTGGCCATCTCCCCCGACAACAAAGTGTGTTTCTCCTGCTGCAGCGACGGCAACATCGTGGTGTGGGACCTGCACAACCAGACTCTCGTGAGGTGAGACTCCACACCACAAACTATCAATAGTTATGGAAAAGAAAGAAGTCAGCTGGAGTCCCAACAGCCACTTCACTCCATGTTATTGGCTGTAACACATTTGTCGCATCTAATTGTTTATTAAAATAGTTGTCAACTAATTTAGTAACTGGTTATTTTTTTTGACACTTAAAGACTGAGAAGAGGTTTTGTGTGTAACAAGTCATCTCTAGGGCGTTCTACAGGAGCTACAGGAGAAAATTATCCCATAATAATCACTGAGCTTTCAACAACAACAACCTTTAGATGAATTGAAATAATAATCGTCCAATTAATCAGTCTCAAAAAGTTATACTTCATTACAGCCTTTATTGTAAACATTGTTTGTAGGGGTGGGAACCTCAGGATACAAAGCTCACGATAACGATTATATCACGATATGACGATTATCGATATATTGGTCAGAATTATACTGTTATAGAAATATTTTAGTAAAGCAATCTGAATAAACACAAAATAGTTATAAGTGTAAGTTATTAACTAATTCTCAACTCTGCATTTAAATACAGCACATATTGGCATAAATAAAAGAAAAATGTTGAGTGAAAAATAATTCATGGAATGGAGATGCGTAATGTAGCCATAAATTAAGTATTGATACTATATTTTTTTGTTTTTATTATTAAAACATTTATTTATTTTTTTATTTTTAAATCGATACTTGGCAAAAGCATATAGATAATCGATCGTGTGAGAAAGTATCACGATACATCACAATATCAATATATCGTCACACTCCTAATTGTGTGTGGCAAACAAATAATCTTTGTCTTATTATCTATACTTTCATTTAAAAGACAAGAACAAGGGGATAAGTCAGAGGACGATGTTTGATTGTACATATAATGTAAATGCAATGTTTTCTGACTCCTCCCACAGACAGTTCCAGGGCCACACAGACGGAGCGAGCTGCATCGACATCTCTAATGACGGCACTAAACTGTGGACAGGAGGACTGGACAACACTGTCCGCTGCTGGGACCTCCGAGAGGGACGCCAGCTGCAGCAGCATGACTTCACCTCACAGGTGTGCTCCGTACTAAAACAAACTACCAGGAGAACAAGCATATTCCTTTTGAAATGTGGCCTTCTTAGATGGCTGAGATAAAGTGTTTTAGAAAGCTCACCCTGACCGCTCCTATTGAGCTTTACATCTGTTCTATCTCTTGTCTTGATCTAAGCACACGGCTGTCACCACCACTACCCCCTATGCCCTCATCTTTAGAGCTCTCACATCTATCGTCTATCTTTGACTCTCCCTTCTTCTTTTCATGTTGGGCTTTCTCTGTTGTTACTGCTTATCTCACGCAGCCTTTCTGTCTGTTTGACTTGTGCAGATCTTCTCCCTGGGCTACTGTCCCACGGGCGAGTGGCTGGCTGTGGGGATGGAGAGCAGTAATGTGGAAGTGCTGCACGTCTCCAAACCAGACAAGTACCAGCTGCACCTCCACGAGAGCTGTGTCCTCTCACTAAAGTTCGCCTCCTGTGGTACGTAGACAAAGGACTGTAGCTGCATTCTGTACAATGTTAAATGCTAGCTTCAGTCAGGGGAGCAGTAGTTCTTTAGGCGCCGGAGTTTCAGCAGAATTGTATTTTCTGTGGAATCGACAAAAGAATGTTCCCTGAAACTTATGAGATAGAAGTCGGTCGATCAAATAAAAAGCTGGATTGATTCTTATCAAATTTCATTTTCACACTGCAGACCTGTGTTTGTTCGACCCAATATTCTGTGTCGACCTGATACAACAGTGGGAAAGGTGGGTGTGTTGTTTGGACCAGTTTTGCTTTTCAAAACCCAGCGCAGGGAATTATATTATAATTGACAACAGTATGCTTATCAACCTTGTGGAGCAATGGTATGTGGGTGTTGCTAGGGCGTGGAAGTGAACAAATATATCAGTAACTTAAGAAACATAGAGAAGCAGGTCATAATGGAGCTAGACATAACCCAATAACAGTGATGGGTAGTGACGCAATGGATCCGAGCCACTTTGAAGGTAATGCAAAAGTCTTTAATTCAAACCATGGACTTGATTGCCAGCAACGTGCACATTTGTCAGGGCAAAATGTGTATAAAAGAAGAAGTTATTTGACAGGACAGACGCCAGATAACCTGCTGTGTATATTGTATTTGAGAGAGCAGTCTACAATACAAACACAGATTGCCTTTGGTCCATTGAATAACATAAAACATTATATCTACACTCATATTCGATATATATTTGGTCAAAAAATACCTTCATGATTATAAAAAGTCACAGATGCAAATGATGATCTATAAACAGAGTTGGTTTAGTTTCCCTGTTTTCATCTCGCTGTTCTACGAGCACAAACATTTACTTACAGTTATTGAATGAGAAGAAAAAGAGAAGAAGGCACAGTTTGATGAATATAGGTGTATTTATCAATCCAGGAGCTACAGCATGTGCAGGGTAAAATAGCTTGAGCGGTTTAATTTTTTGCATGCACACCACAAACATGTCTCCCAGTCTTAACCTCAAGCGGCCCCCAGCTGGATTGAGTTTGAGACCCGTGCCCTATATAACACCTCATAAGGGACCCAGGCTGTAACCCTTTCTCTGTAACCCTATGAAACAATGTTCACTCAAAATACTGTATTATTCGGAGGAAAAAATACACATTTCCTTTGTTATATTTCCGCAGGGAAGTGGTTCGTGAGCACAGGTAAAGACAATCTGTTGAATGCATGGAGGACACCTTATGGAGCCAGCATATTCCAGGTGAGCACACAACCTTTGGAATTTTGCAACCACTTAACAACAAAATGAAGTGTCTGTAATTTAGGAGTTCTCTTCTTAATCAGGATCAATCATTGACAAAGTTTGCTCCTACATACAACCAGGAGGCTGTGATAAACAAAAGGGTGCATGTGTGTGCGTATATATGTCTGTGTGTGTGTGTTTGTGTGTGTGCATGTGTGTTGTATTGAGTAGCACAGGGCTTTGGCAGATCCTGTCCCCGGCAGACTGAAAGGAGAATGCTGGCTATCCTCCTTTGTTATCCTCTTGCCAAGAGTCTGCCAGAGCCAAACGCATCACAATGTTTTACTCTCTCTCTGTCTCTCCTCCACATTTCCCGTCGCTTTTGTCCCGTGCACGTTTCATCACCCTGTTTACTGCCCATTGCTTCTCTTTCTGCTTCATATCGTTCTCTAATCTCTCCCTACCCTTGTATTCTCCTGTCCTATTTTTCACTCTCCTCCTTCCATCACGTTTTTTATATCACACATTATCTTTTACTACTGCTTTTATTGCTATTGGCTTTTATCACCCGGCAAAAAATAGTTTTTATGTGCAGTAATGCTAACGCTGCATTATTTATTCAAGATTTCCTTAGCAACATAGGGAGAGATGGATATTCAGCTTTAATGATCAATTAACAATGGCATTCAGTCAGTTTAAAAAAAAAAATCTCTACATACTTAGTGAAAAGAGTATGTGAGAGAAGGATTTACAATTTTAACGGAGCCAAACTTCAAGCGCACCTGCTCCATGTTTTATTAATAGCTCTGCGGATGGTTTTAGGTATGAAGAAAGTTAAAAACAACAGCAGCCATAAAACACCTACAGTATACACATGCGATGTCTCACTCTCACTCTCTTGTCTGTGGTAAAACCCTGCCTTGATACACGCTCTCTGAACCTATTATGTCCCCTTTCTGAGTGGAGTTTGCATGTTCTCCCCGTGTCTGCGTAGGTTTCCTCCGGGTGCTCCGGTTTCCCCGACCACTAAAAACATGCACAATAGGTCTGAATGTAAATGAGAGAGTGAATGGATGGTGTTGATTGGGGGCTGATGGTCCAGTGTGTTCGGCGACTCGCTTCTGTCATCACCGGGCGGCACGGTGGCTGAGTAGATAGCACTCTCGGCTCACAGCAAGAAGGTCCTGGGTTCAAATCCCGGTCAGTCCAGGGCCTTTCTGAGTGGAGTTTGCATGTTCTCCCCGTGTCTGCGTAGGTTTCCTCCGGGTACTCCGGTTTCCCCTACCCCTAAAAACATGTCCTATAGTTCTGGCATGCGCCTCCTGTTCGGCGACCCCGCTCCCATCTTTTTGTGGAGTGAGAGGACAAATGCCCAAAAATAAAAATTGTAAACCGCTTTGTGACTCTGGTCTGTGAAAGGCGGTATATAAATAAAGATTACTTACTTACTTACCGTGCGTGGAATGATTGGAACAATATCTGACTCTGAACATTGTAAAGCGCTTTGGGTGACCTTGGTCCGTAAAATGCGCTATATAAATAAACATTACTACTACTTCTACTACTATAACTATTGTCTGAGGCTATTTCTTGTCAAATAAATGTGTATTGTATTTTCAAACTATAATAATAATATAAACTCTTCTTCTGAGCCTGATCAGAAGTCTCCATCCCCCACTTCTCAATAACATGTGTTGCCTTTAACAGCGCAAAGTCTTTTGTGGTGTTTGTGGATGAGGTTCTTTTCTCTCTTTGATGCTAATTCTTCTTGGTAAAAAAAAGCCCCCAGTTCTTGTACATTCCTGGGCCACCTTGCACAGGAATGCTTCTTCCCAAAGATGATAAGATAAGATGATTTTATAATTTGAAAATAGAAACACTTATTTATTTGAGAATAAATGACATCACACAATCACAAAAGATATGTGAAAATTCAGTTTTTGTGGTGGTGCTAATATTCTCCAAAAGGAATTTTTACCTTGATGTGTAAACTGTCAAACTGTAGGCAAGTCCAGGTGAAGCTCTGAAAATATAAATTATCTTTGTTAAGTTTATTTCTGTAGTTAAAAAAAAAAGTGAAACCAATCTATGATATTGACTCATCACAAGCAAAGGGAAGTGTGCATTTTTTTAATATTTACAAGCTGTGTGCTAAATATCAACTGAATATCCCACTGCATATAATGAGTCTGTCCTTTACTAGATTCACATTGTAAATTGATTTAAGATTAAATCCTTATAATCCAAATATTGGTCCCACAGAGGCGAAATCTCAGTGTTGCATCTCAAGTTACAGAGCAGAAGGAATGAGGAGCTAAATGAACAATAGCTATTAAAACAGGCATGTCCAAACTCAGGCCCGGGGGCCAAATGCGGCCCTCAGTGTCATGTTATGTGGCCCTCTGCCTCGCTAACCCACAGTAGTCTTTGAGATCATAAACACAAGTTCACGGTGTCATCCATCCAACTTCAGCTCAGCCAATATAGACCTGGCTTTAAAGCCCAGTATGCTGTTGACTTTATTTGCACAAACTGTACTGTACATGGTTTTTGATGGTGTCAAAAACCTCCGTTAATGGTTCTACTGTAGCTGGTGAGATGGTAAACATGTGTCATTCAGCCAACTTCAGCTCTGTTATAGATCATTTCAAAGCTCAGAACAGTCAAGACAGTTTTTCAGTCCGTGATGTCGGCCCCTGGACTAGTCTGGTGAGCTAAAGTGGCCTCTTACTAAAACTTTATTAAAATAAAACAAAATCTCTAACTCTAGCCTCAAAGAACAAATATAAGATCTCTATCTAAATTTTACATTTGGCAAAGTAAGTGGCAAGTATAAAGTACTGTGTATTTTAATGCAAGCAATGTGTGTTAGCATCTGAATTACAGAAGTAAACATACTTTTGTAGAATATTCAGATTTTTCGAGTGTCACCTGTATGTACGCAGTTTTTCCTCTAAGTCTGAGCGTGATTTTTGGTTTTACTCTTTCTTCTAACTACATGCAGTATCTGAAGGGGGTTTAATCTCAGGGCAGTTCTTTTATATCTTTTATCTATTGGTCACTTTCCAAACTCATCCGTTTGGCCTGTCATAATGGACCTCCCTTGCGATTGCCCTTCCTCCCGACATCCTTTTTCCTGCTCTAATATTAGGAGTCCTGTGTGAAATAGTCTCCCTACTGGCAGCTGGGTGATTGACAGCTCCGGCTGCTGCAGGGGAAAAAAGGGAAAAGCAAAGAGGGAGGGAAGGAGTTGACTCTAGACCAGGGAGTGTGGGAAGTGGAGAGAGTGGATAACACTAAAGGTATCTTCACATCCTTCTAAAGCCAGGTGCCCCAGGACAACTTCAAACGCAGAGAACAGAGAAAAGGCAAGACTCTGCGTTTTGTAGCCCTTCAGTGGAGCTTAAAGTCGCGGTTAATGAGCCTAGATCTCGCGGGGAAATAAAGAGCCAGAGACAAATGAGTCAGCATTCCACCGCCGTGCCTTTTTGTGGAATAATTGCCGCTTGTTTTTTGAAATGCAAATATGTCCTGTGCTACTGAGGCGATGAGTCACGTTCGTGCTAACCGTGTCTTCTCTGTTCCCTCCGCAGTCCAAGGAGTCGTCGTCTGTGCTGAGCTGCGACGTCTCTCCGGATGACAAGTACATCGTGACGGGCTCAGGCGACAAGAAGGCCACGGTGTACGAGGTGGTGTACTGACGGGACGGACTCTACCGTGGGAGAATTCTATTTGTATTTGGCGCGGACGTTTCCCCCCATCGCATCGGCACAAGTCTCGGCTCGGCTTTCAAAGAACTGAATCTCCACTGAACCTTTGACCCTTGCGTTTTATCACCATTACGCTGTGATGTAAGCTACTGCAGAAAAAAAACACCCCGATACCCACCCACCCTTGTTAGCCGCCAGATAAGAAGGACACAGTGTGATAAAAGTAGGGCTGGAAATGAGCAGAAATGAGAGGGGAGAGCCACGTAGAAGGAAGTGGAATTAGAGGTAAGAATACAGAGAGGAGGAGGAGGAGGGTAATTAGGGCTGTTTCCTGATTAAGAGCTCAGAGGAGGGAGACCCCCAGAGGAGGCACTGTGGGAGCGTCAGCCAGCACCACTGATACCACACAATCGATTCATTAGGCAGACAGCGCAGTGCGTAATGAGGCCGCCGCCACGCCGCGCTGTCCCCAGTGACGGGCGCGGAGAGGTGGGGAGCCACACCCGCACACACGCTACACACGCTACACACGCACACTAGCATGACGGGCAGCAGGGGATAGAACGGGACTTGTAGATTTTAGTGCAGTCAGGAACTATGAGAGAGGAAAAGCTGGGGTAACTACTTTTTTTCATAAATAGGTCATTTCCTCATTGTATCAACAGAGTCTTGTCAAAGTAAAGTGCTATTAAGAAATCAGGCCACAACATGCTGGATTCACTTTATTACAAAACTTCTGTGCATGGTTTGGGCTGAGAGCTGATTGGCTGAGTGAGGGTGGTTCTCTCGTTTTCACTTATCACTGTCTGAGAAAGCTGATCTAAAGATGTGACAGAGGCCTTAAGTACATGCATGTGAAACTAGTGATAGAACCAGACTGTTCTGAGAGCCAGGGACCAGTCCGCTGCATATTTAATAAGTCACACTCACTAATTATATACACATTTGGCAAATGTTATTCCAGTTTTGCAGTTGACTTGTACTTTTGGGCAAAACTACAAATTGTCCCCACATTTTTTGATTGAACGTTGCATATCTTTTACATGATTTTTCCTTTAATTTTCAACAGATTTTCACCATTTTCTTTGCAAACTGCTTCCTGATTTGTTCAAATTACAATCATACAAACTTTAACAGCTTCCATATTTAACTTTTGCATAATTACATGGGAAAAAACCAACTTAATTAGTCACTTTTCTTTGTTCTTTCGAGTTTTGCCGTCACATTCTAAGCGAACAATAAGTATTTGACTCTCATTGTAGGCATTCAGAGCATATAGATGGAAGCGATTGCAACAAAAACTCACCTTAATAAGTTTCTCTGATGTAAGTTTGAGCTGTTCTGGATATGGTTAGAAAACAGCGGCTCGGCGTAACGGAAAGGAGGTCATTACCGTGCGCTCTTTCACCACTAATGGGAAAAGGAGCAGTAATTACCTCTGCAATGTTGACTTTAGGAAGCGAGGTTAAGGTCGCTATGTTTTTCTTTCATATCCCACCTCAAACCCACCAATTATTATATACATGCAATGGAGTCGCCCCCATGAAGAACTGGCCTTAAAGGAAACATCATGAAAAATGGACTTTTTTTCTAACCATATCACAACATTGTTCCTCTTAAAAAAACAGACCTGGAGTTGTTTTTAGATCCATGCATGCTAATATGAGGAACGTCTGGCACAAACATGTAGTTCTGCCTCAGTATGAAAGCTCCTGTCTCAGTCCTGTAAGAGTCACTGTACCACTATGACAACATACAGCCGTTTTTGGAAAATTAAAACAAAAGTAGTGCCCATTTATTAGTTTTGGCAAATTCTCTGGTGAAAAAACGTGCTTTGTCAATGGGAATTTTCAAATTTTGAAAACAAATACTAAAAAAATAAATTCAACTCCTCCCTCTAGTGGAAGCATAGGGAGTTACAGGCAGAAATATGTTTTACTTTTCATACTTGTTTCACCATGTATTTTATAGTTAATTAAGACATTATTACACCTTCTAAAACATAGGTGTCAAAGTCAAGGCCTGGGGGCCAGATCCGGCCCGCAAAGAAATTATCTTGGTCCCTGGGATGATATTTGATTAGTGTCAGAACCGGCCGCACAGAGCCCTAAGAAAATATTAGATTATTCATTTCATGTTCAGGACATGTGTTTTCTCTTTGAAAGAAGTTTGTTTTTAATGAAATATGGTTCACTCTGTTAGGTCTAGGTTCAATTATATGCAATCATCTTAATATGTTTTAATAAACATTGAACCAGTCCGGCCCTCGGCTTTTAGAAAATAAGTTGTTTTGGCTCTCTGATGTATTTGACTTCGACATCCCTGTTCTAAAACATGTAATGGAAAAGTAAACAGTCCCATCATCATTACTAATGGCCAAAAATAATCCAATAATATTTCCCCCTAACATACATCTAGTCCTCAAGTCCCAGCACAGCCGCTGTATAGGCCCTCACACCTCCTTTTGTTCACATCAGTATGCTAATAGTAAGTAGTAAATGTCATTTCCAGCGCACACACTCGGATAGGCCCCAGAGGAACAGCGAGAAACACACATACACCAAACCCAATTAAACATTCATGGCAGCGCTCTCCTTCTCTCTGCTTAATATCTGTTTTATTTCGCTTCGACAAAGGCAGCGGCTAATGAGCCTCGGAGTCAATGGGGATCTCCGAGGGCCCGCAGACACAAACAGAGCGCGTCAGGAGCCTCGGCTTCTAATTCCTCACGACGGCTCCGACGCTTGGCTGCGCTCAACTCTCGCACTTATAAAAGCTGCTGTCACTGTGTGTGCGCAGGGAGGGGGTCCGGGGTACAACAGTCGCCCACCTGCCGGAGAACCGCAAAGAAGTGTATGCGTCTTTCGTTAGCAATTATAGCCGCGCCAACACCGTGATCCCGAGTGATTTGGATTGGACTTTATACTGCGAGACATATTACGCAAAATCGCCTTTTTTGAGCTTATCACACGTTACAAAAGTGTTACTCATAAACTTCTGTCTCAAACATGTATTGACGTTTACGGGCATTGGTCTGTGTGTTTGTTATGATTGCATTTCCTGTGTTTGAACGCCTTGATTCTCTAATCTGTGTTTTGGCGAATCAACAACTTTGTGAAGGCCTGCGAGAGGACTGCTGTTCTATTTTAGGGCCGTACAAAAATATATTGAATTGAAAATGTAACTCCGCCCCTTCTGTCTCAGTCCTGTCATAGTATGATGTCATTGTAGTGTGACATCATCACGCTCAAAATGGTTTTCCGCCTTTTAAAACAAAAAGTGTTGCTCTTAGTTATTTTTTCATAATACGTACTCATCTTACATGTTCCTGAACTACATTTTCTAAAGTGAAATAACGTTCTTTACACTCGCATGGCTGTGTTTGCAACTGGTATATTTCACATTTTTAAAAAGCTATCCACAATCTAAAACATAAGTAACAACATAAAAAGTAGGCTTATAGTTTTTTATCTAAAGTAAAAAGTAAAACTAGCAGTGAATATGACATTAAATAAAACATTACGCTCAACTTATTTTAACAGCAATCGTCTCAGAAGACTTTACAAACTTCTTGATTTGCCAACAACAGAATCAAACCATTCGCAAACAGGAAATGCAATAATAACAAAGACAAAGGGGCTGGAGGACAATGTTTCCGAATCCCACCACAATGGACTGGTTTGTGTTCTATCACCATCTGCAAAGTAACATTTTGTATTGTAAGGAGTAGAAAGTAGAAATATTTAGTTGGGCGGCACGGTGGCTGAGTGGATAGCACTCTCGCTTCTCAGCAAGAAGGTCCTGGGCTCGAATCCCAGTCGGAATAGGGCCTTTCTGAGTGGAGTTTGCATGTTCTCCCCATGTCTGCATAGGTTTCCTCCGGGTGCTCTGGTTTCTCCTACCACTAAAAACATGTGCAATAGGTCTGGCATGTGCCTCCTGTACTGGCCCCGCTCCCATCTCTCTGTGGAGTGAGAGACTAATGTCCACAATTGTAAACCGCTTTGTGACTCTGGTCTGTGAAAGGCGGTATATAAATAAAGTTTACTTACTTACTTAAAAAGTAAAGAGAAAGTAAAACTATTCCAGGGTAATTAGTTGTGAAGTTAACTAAGCTACTGATATCAGAACAAAGTACCACTGAGGTCTGAAATTGATCAAATTCATTTTTGTAACGGTTATTTAACTCCCACTAATTACAGAACAACTTATTTAAGAGAATAGGTGAACACTCCATAACATTCTGGGCTCAAATCAGTCGAGAATTACTTGAAAGATCCGATCTGAATACCCGCTCACCCGTTACCATAGAACCAATCCAACACACTTTTCTGGATCAGCACCAGTGTTCAATGCCAGTTTGCATCCCAGTCCAATCTAAGTGTTTTATAGTTCATATTTAACAAACACAGCTCGTTACTTTGAAGTCAGTGGTGAGTCTCCAGATCACGGCCGTTATATAATCGTCATGGGTTTCCATTCAGTCAAAGACTGGGAGAGCAGAGGAAGGATTAAAGGCATACAGTACGTCACATGCTCTCTCTGGATTCAAAACTAAATGAATAAATTATTGCTGCATGTAGAAAACACATTTACATTCAGTATGTGTGATCTGATTTACCAATGAGAAACGCATGTGTGGGCCTTTACTTTCTGATTGGAGGATCGCCTTGACAACCGCCACAACAACGTTTGGCGTCAATGTTATCATCATGTCCAATGTTTTTTGTTTTTGCTAATTTGTATTTTTAATTATTTATTTGTTGTATTCACAATTTATTCAGCTAAAATGAAGTGTTTTATTTTAACATATTAAGCAAGCCTCGCCTTAACAAGTTTAACATTCTGGTTGTGAGGAGCTGTGTAGATCCACATAGACCTGTATCGCAGTATCTCCTGTAGTTCACTTTGATTAAAACCCTTTATCTCTATATGGCAGACATTGGTTTTTGGTGGTTTTCTTCCCCATCGTGTTAGAAGTAGCTTTTAAC